GAACATCTGGCTTTGGGTAAGAACCATCTGGCTCTACCACCAGGACACTGACAGCCCTGTCTCAAACTACAGGTGAAATGGAGAATGTTCCTTGTGAAGCCCAGAAGGGCTGGCAGGGGGAAGCATCTCCCTGCTGTGCAGCAGGGCAGCTGAAATACCAGATGTCAACCACTGAGTGCTCAGGCCCTGCCAGTCTCCGCGACCCAGCCAAATCCTGTCTGTTAAACATTTCCCGCTCAGCCATGCCCTCGGAGCACGGTGGACTCACAAGCTCACAATCGATGAGAAAATCATGTGTAAATACAGACAGCGATGATTGTGCCTGAAAGCTTACGGGCCAGGAGGGGAGATCAGCAGAGCAGCTCTGGGCTGACCACTCCTGAACAGCAGGTGGCTAAGAGAATAACACAGCAACAAACATTAGGGCTGAAGGGAAGCTGTAAGAAGCTGAATATTCAAAACTAGTCAGGAACATCAGAGAGGCTGGTGGTAGAGTGCAAGAGGCATTTGTAGAAGATTCTGTATTAACTGACAGGGTTTCTCTTCTCAGCCTTCAGGGCTTTGATGCACCCTACAAAGTCCCTTGAGGTCACGTAAGCCCCCAGGCAAGAGGAATCCCTCTAATTAGAGGATTCCAACCTGAAGAAGACTGAGAGGTCAACAAACAGCCATATTCTAACACAAAAGAGCATGTAATAAAGACAGTGAGTGCCATGCTGCTGCTGCTGCACTGTCAGAGCAGTTCATTCACACCAGGCCCTCAGCCCACCCTGGGTGCTCACCAGCACAACTGCGTCCACGCCCGCCTGCACCAGCAGGTCCAGCCGGTACTTGTCGTCCTCGTGGGTCCCGATAGCAGCTCCGCAGAGCAGCTGCTTCTTGGAATCCTTAGATGCCAGAGGGTAGTCCCTGTTCTTTTTGAGATCAGTACGAGCAATTATAGCCACCAGCTCGTCATCTTCATTAACAATTGGCAGTTTGCCTGGAAACAAACAGAAAGAACATCATTGCAGGTTTCTGCAGCAGTCGGACGTTAGCCCGGGTCAGTGTGGCAGACCAGGGGAATCAGGCAGGCAGCTGCTACAAGATGGAGATTCAAAGAGGTGTGTTACCCAGCCTTGCTTGGCCATGGATGCCAGCAGCCCTGGCTTGGGAAACAGAGCATGACTTTTCAGGACTGGAGAAGGACTCAAATTGACCACGGAAAAAATGCTTATTTTTTAATAATTAGACCCCCCCACACTGTTAAAAGTCAAACCACCAAACCCTAACAGAACTCAACTCAGTGCTGAAATGTGAGGGCCAGGATAGAAAATGGAAGACGTGGCTGGACAGCAAGGCACTCTTCAGCCCCTGGGCTGCCAAGAATCCCTCAACTCCAAACACATTCGAGATGAAGGCATGTGAACTCTGCACCCTGGCAGAGGGCTGCAGGCACTCTCCTCACTGTCCCCTCCTTGTGCTGGAATGCAGCCTTCCCATGTTCCACCCACACACGGACTGCGTGCCCACAGCCACCCACTGCCCTCCCAGCCCGGCACTCCCATCACTCTCCCTCGTGCCGACGGTCACAGGTACCTTTTTTACTCCTTTGCAGAATTTCATTTGCTTCTTTCAACATTACACCAGCTGGGGCCACAACAAGATCTTCCCGCTTTGTCATAATCTAGTGGGTGGGAGAAGATAAAAAGTCACAAGAACTCCTTCACACCGATCTGAAAATACCAAACCCCTCTGCCCACGTGATACGCTCCACAGTAGCCGTGCGGGAGCACTCCACACACCACAGCAACACGCCTCCAGAAACACAGGAACAGCCTCCAGTGTACTGTCCCCATGCCAGTGGTGACATCAGGACCCAAGCCCATCAGTGCACTGAAAACAGGAGATGATAGAAGGGAAAGCAAGCGAAGGGAAAGCACATAGAAACAAGGGACAACTCTCAGATGATCGTTGTTTGGGATGTCACCCAAACAGCCCTCCCTTTTAACGGAGCACAGGGAAATAAGGGCTGGAGACACCTCTAGAGCCTCATGTTGGTCTGGCAGAAACGTTACCCCCAGTCTCGTTTTCAGGAAGCATCCCCAGCACACAGGCTCTGGAAGGGCTCTGTCAAAAAAAAAACCCACTGCGGGCAAAGTCAATGGGGTAAAAGTCACTTCAAAACCAGGACAAATCCAAACACACTCACCCACGCTCACTCTGACAAACAAGCACCAAAACACAGTGGAATGCCAGGGGCAGTGCTGGACAGAGGCTGGAACAGGGGAACACCTGATGTGGTATACAGAAAAACGCTTTCACCACGACAGTGGTCGAACACTGGAAGAGCAGCCTAGAGGGGCAGTGAAATCTCCATCCTTGGAGACAGGGACACAGCCCCATACAACCTGCTCCAACTGAATCTGCCTTGAGCAGGAGACTTGACAAGAGACCGTTATGTCCCTTGCCAACCACAGCATTCTGTGATCACCAGGTTCACGTGGGGTATCCTCATGAAAGGCTACTCAAGAAGGCCAGGCAAAGCTAAAAGGGAACACTTTCTAACCCTTCAGGAAGGTAGATTAGTTGCACACAACAAAAAAAAGAGGGAACATTTTAGTTATTTATACCATAAGAACAGACATTTTGCATCAGGGAAGAGGTTGACTCTGCCTGCATCCACCCAAAATGCTGTCTGTGATAGAACCCATATCTCAGGAAAAGCCTGAGCAGTCAAAGACATATCGTGATACTCCCTAACCCTGTGGGATCCATGAGCTTCCTGTGCTACAGGAGACCTGTGTGTTTAACTGGATGGCAATGAACAGCTCAGCAAGACAACTGCTGGACTGCAAGTGGAGAGGAGATTGAGGAAACCATTCGTTTCCCTGGCCTTGCCCATTGACAGGGACAAGCACCAGACACTGACAGCAACAGGGCTTCCATCTTTGCAGTGCCAAATGATCCACATAAGAAAGAGGGGAGATTCTTATCTGGCTCCTCTAAATGGGCAGCACCACTTCATAGGGCCATGTGCACTTTTATAACCTACTCCTGGTTTACGATTCCTGTATCAGGTATTTGTAGGCAATTGCAAACCAAACAGGGATGAGCATGTGATACCAGGTTTGGTCAGCAAGAGCTAAAAATACTCGTGAGTCAAAAGTAAAACATGGCCAAGAGGCACCAGTGGTGTAACCTGACAGTGCTGTGGATCTACAGTTACATAGCCTGTGTGACAGATCGCAGGGAACGTTCTCCTGCACGAGAGGAGTCTGACGGGGCAGACTTATGAAGGCCACTCTGCCACTCTGCAAGTTCAGAGGCTTATTTTAAAGAGCAAGTAGCCCAGATGAGGCACACAGGGAAAGGCAGTCCAGAAAATGAAGCTCAGCACTTGGAGGGCTTGCTGGGCACAGTGCAGCTGTTACAGCCCTGGCCAGTGCCAGACTGCTACACAGGATCACAGCCAGCAGCCAGGAACACTGGCAATTAATTAGTGAAGCAAGGGAGAGCACCAGCTGCAGGGAGGATGGTTTCCACATCACTGAAAGATAACCCCTAGGAGTCATACAAACTGCATGGTCACTCCACTGTGTCTGCACTGCAGGAGTCGCTAAGGGAGTGCAAATGAGGGAGACAATCTCCAGGAAATACAGTCACAGATGGATCTGCAGAGCTAAGGTAAAGCTGCTCCCTCCCACTTGGACAGCATCCTCACAGCCACACACTCACCCTTCTTATCACAAGCCACACGGTTTCCTAAGGCAGTACTCACACCCATCGGGTGCTCACAAGCCCTTCTCACCTCACCGAGGGGCAGGTCATGCTCTGACTCTTTCAGGAAGTCAATATCTCTAGATGAGATGATCCCAACCAGCTTGCCCCCCATCTTCCCATTGTCCGTGATGGGAATCCCACAGAATCCGTGACGAGCTTTTGCTTCAAACACATCTCGCACTCGATCGTTGGGGCTCAGCACCACGGGGTCTGTGATGAATCCTTGCTCATATTTCTGAAAGGAAGCAAATCCAGCAGCCAGGTTGAGCAGCACTGCCAGGCTGACCAGGAGCAGGGCACGTGCCTGGAGGTCACTGCAGCCCCTCACTCAGCTCCACAACCACCCAGCCTGACCATGTGCTCACCAACAGGATGACTCCCAAACCAGCACCAAGGCTCACCCAAATAGTGTTAAACCCCAAGAGTTTCCAAGCTAACATCCTTCCTGAAATGATGGGGAATATTCCCACACCAGGAAGCCTGGCAGATCTCAAATCCCAGGCTGCGCAGGGACAGCTCTTGACACACAAGAAGAAGGTTGTGCAGGCAAACCCTGGCAGCACTACAGCTCTGTAACACCAAGATCTGGCACATTTCAACAGGGTCAGACCACGCTGCCCACCTGCACGAAGCACCACTGCTGCCGCCCCAGCCACTCACCTTCACCTTCCGCACTTCGTTAGCCTGGAACTCCGGGGTGCAGTTGTGGTGGATGAACCCTATTCCCCCGGTCAGCTGGGGACACAAAGGCGACTGTGAGACACTGCAATCCCCGCCCGGTGCCGCACCGGGAGCGATGGAGCCCCCGGGCCGTACTTGGCCCCGGGGCGGACACGCGGGAGCCTCGGGCAGCGTTTCCAGCCCCGCCACGGGGCCGCACTCACCGCCATGGCGATGGCCATGCCGGCCTCGGTGACCGTGTCCATGGGCGAGGAGACCAGCGGGGTCTTCAGGGTGATCCTCTTGGTCAGCGCTGAGGTCAGGTCCTGGCGGGGAGGCGGCGGCGGCTGAGCGGCGGCACCGGCCCAGCCCCCGGCCCGGCCCCCGGCCCGCTCCCCCGCCCCGGCCACTCACCACCTGGTCTGCCGTGAAGTCGATGTACCCCGGGAGGATGAGGAAATCGCTGCGGGGTAACGAGGGGAGACGCGTTAGCGACCGCCTCGGCCCCGCGCCCCCGGCCCCGGCCCCACAGCCACGCCGGCCGCACTCACTTGTAGGTGAGCCCATCGCCGCAGCTGAAGAGCTGCTGCGCCGTCAGCCCGTCGTCGGGCACGTATCCGGTGCCGCCGCTGATCAGATAGTCCGCCATGGCCCCGCCGCGTGCCCGCCCCGCCACACCGAGCGCACGCGCGCCCCGACGGCCGCCGGGGCCAACCCGGCTGCGCCCGCCCCGCGGAGCGGACAGAGCGGCCCCCGGCAACGGCCGGCACCGCATCGCCCCCTGCCGGCCCGGAGGGCCCCGCACCGCGACACGGCCCTGGAGCCCGCCCAGCGCTGTCGGCACCGGGGACACGCCGGCGACACAGCGGGCCCGGGTGACGCTCTCAGCCGCCGGGAGTTCCCCCTGAGCGTCTCCTCAGCACCGGCCCCGCGCGTGCCCAGCCCGGTGCCGCCGGGTCGGCGCGGCCGTTGTGTGCTCGGGCACTGCAGCCGCGTCCGCGTGTCGGGGGAGGCAGGAGGACAGAGCTCCGGGACAGCCCAGCACAGCCCTGGGCGCCGTTCCTTGGCTTGGCTGACACAGCGTGGCCAGCGCAGTGTGACACCTGCTACAGCACCGCCTAAGAAAGCCCAGCAATGGGTGATGCACACAAACACGGTGGGGTGGGAGCTGAGCCCAACACCAGATAGTCCAGCAACTTCTGCAGGAAGATGAGAATGGGCCTGTTGGGTCTGTGGTGGATGCAGAGCTGGGACACACCAGCAGGACCCAAAGCAACTTTGTAAGTCAAAGTGAGCTGCAAGAAGGATGAAAGTCAAAAAGTGGCAAGCAAGGCAGGTTTGGCACCAAGAGGGGAATGAAAGGCACGAAGGAGAGGGTCCAAAGCGATCCCAGCTAGGTATTATCCCCCTCTTGCCAAAGCCCCGAGGCCAGGCTGTACAAACAAGCACTGTGAAGAGGATGGCTGCACATGGGGGACTGTAGTGTAGCACCTTCCTGTCTGTGCTGCAGGTGGTGACTGGAGGCAGGATTTTGGAGAAGAGCAGTAGCAGGAGTAGGGAGGACTGTGCCTGGAATGGAACAGGCAAAAAAACACAGATCTGCCTTAGAGGACCCTTGAAGGAAACAGCAGTTGTTTCTTTTCCAGGATGAGATGTTCTCATGCCTGCAGGTCTGTTGGAGCATCAGGAAAAGTATCTGTACTGCAGGTTACAGAACAACTTCCTTCTCTGATGGCTGGTTTCCTTCTTGTGACATTCCAGATCTGGCCTCAGAGCAGCACCAGGGACAGAAGACAACCAGACCCCTTCTCACCCACTGTCCTAGGTAACCCCTAGTCTAACACTAACCAGTTCGGGGACTAAAGAATGGTGCTCCTGTGCCTGCAACTGTCCTACTGCAGTAGGTTAAATCCTTGTCCAAGGATCAGAAATCAGCTTCAAGAAATGTGTAACTCATGTTACCCAGCTGTAGGACACAGAAAATGTAACAGTGACATCTGCTCAGGTCTCCTGAAATACTTGGAAGCGAACAGGCTTTTTATCCTGCGAGGGTCATCAGTCACGTTCAAGCCTCTAGTTTGGACCAACATATTTTCATCTGAGGAAGGTTCTACAAAAGACAACATGGAGTTTAGAGAAAGACAGTTAGGCCAGTGACTTTTACGGAGGGTGAGAAGCCCCAAACAAGTGAACTATCTATGGACAGGAGGAGGACTCCCAAGCGACTTGTTTGGTCTCAGCAGCAGTGATCTGCAAAGGTTGTGGTCTCCAAGCTACAGTTGTTTCCCATGGGATGGTGGGTTTGTCTGTAGCAGGAAAGGAAGGTGCAAGCCTCAGCATGAGGATGTTCCCTTTGCTATGAGAAAGGGTACATGTGGCTTTCAAGGCCGCCCCAGAACTAGGAAAATGCAGCCCTTGCACAGCAAAGAGCCAGTGACAAGGATCTGCAATGGCCCTTAAAACTTTCAGCCAAGAGTGGTGGTGATGATATCGCCAACATCAACACCATCTCCTTCCCACAGCCACCCAGTAACAGTGCTTTGTTGTTATGTGACATTCTGAACTCTATAGGGTAGAGTATACAGCAGACTGTATTCCACCCTGCTGTTACCTCTGCACATAACTCCTGGGCTGAATTTCAGCTAAGAGCTCACTTCTCCTATCCACACACCAATGTCCCACTGGTTGCAGTTTGCCTGAGCTAGGGAGCTGGAAGAAAAGCACCGTCCTTTGCAGAAAATAAAAGCACCTAGGCCCACGCCACTGAAAGCCGTTCCCCGTCAAGGCACCAAGATGGTTATCCCAGAGGCAGGGATCAGAGCCACAGCGTTCCCAAGGAAAGCGCTGCCTGCCAAGGACACGCACTCTCGAGTCAGCATTACCTGTCACAGGATCAGCACAACAGGAGGCATCGTGCCAGACCAAAATCAGGCTAACAGGTCTCTCTACCCTTATTTAAAACAAAGACAGGCTAACAAAGGCTTGCTGAGCCTACCTGGGCGGCACACACTGATCTGAGCTACAGCACGGGCACAGCAGTGAACAGGCAAGTTGGCTTCTGTTCCAATGGAAACATCAGACAAAGTTTAATGGTTCTCAAACAGACTACAACAAAGGCTGCAGGGAAAAACATTTTATTTCCAAGCAGATTACAAAGAGCAGAGAATATAAGAGTAAAATTAAATTAAAAAAATAGTTGAGTGCATCTCTTTAAAATGATTTGTAGTGTGAGTTACTCACGGGGCAAAGCTACTGGAGAGTTCTGAAGGTCACTTTGCAGGATGCCAATCACATGTGCTGTTTAGACCTGGGTCAACACAGGAGGGACAGACAAGACGTATTTTGCATATAGGCTGCACACTCATTATCAAGCGAGGCTCTGGGCTGCAACTGGACCCTGCCTTTCCGAGACATCCCCTCCACCTCGTTTCTCTCCTGCAGTTCCCTCAAGTTCTAGACATGGTTTATTGCTGCTGTAAGTGAGTTCAATCTGCCTCCCCATTCTGATGAGCTCCAATGAGAAGGAAGAAGCAGGCAAACGTGTCTGCCATGCACAAGGTTATACAGGGAATGTGGCTGCAGTGCTGAGGGCAGAGCTTCAGCCACACAGCAAAGGGAACCGACAAGTAGGGGGCACAGCGAGTGCTTCAGAGATTTGGGGGCAGCATGTCAGCTAGACTTCTGGAAGAAGATTTGAGATGCTCCTTAAGGTAGGAAGAGACTCAAGTGGAGAAAAGCTCCTTCCTATGCATTGGCACCAGTGAAACAGAAGAGGCTGAATCATCATGATAAGGTGCATTCCCTGTAATATCTGAGGAGCAGCTCCAGCAGTAAGATGGGCAGAAAAACCCCATATAGGGTGGAAGACAGCTGATATCCCACTTTAACAGTGATTTAAGAGTCCAAGCACTAATTCCAAGTCAGTTACTATGAAACTCACACAAGAATGCAGTTTGGCTGGACTGTGCAGAGTCAATCAGTGTCTAGCAGCACTCAGAGCAGCAGGAGGATGTGCAACTACAGCACCAGCAAGTCTTCCACCCCCTGTATGCTAAGTGGACTCTTTTCTACCACTTCTGGATCTGCTCTGCTCTCACAGCATAAGGGGCTTGGAGGCCTCATCCCTTCTACTGTAGCACACAGTAGCCCTAATGCAGCTGAGAACAAGGCTGTCTTAATTTCTGCCCCAGGAGCAACAGTGCAGAAGAGGATTCTTATCTAGGGACCAGATTACATATTTTTTATTGCCCAAGGCAGAACAGTTCAGGGACTACTTCAGACCTTGTGACCCATCTAATAAGTCCAGACCTCTAGGGGTGAAGAAGCCAATAGATGAAAGCCCTATTAAGTTACTTGGACCATTCCCTTTACTCACCACTCTAGACAGAAGAACCACTCTCTAGTCTGCTCGTTGCTGCTTCAGCCATTACCACTCAGAAGAAATGCTTGAACTCTTGAAAGCAAATGAAAATCTAATGGTGCCATGGACAAGCGTGTTAAGAGGCTACAAGTTTCCTAAAGAAAGCAACACTGTTAGTGTCAAGAGCTTGGACAATACATGAGTCTCATGTCAGAATGTGAGGTGCTTTACAACAGTCAGTCACGCTCTGATTTCCATGGTTCCTTTCATACCCTGGCAACAAGATGGGCACAGTTCAAAACCAACATGGTAGGGTCTCTACCTTGACTTCTCAGCTCTATTTGTTTAGAGATCAATGCATTTTCAGCCTGTCTCATACAAGGCATGGGGCAGGGAGAGTTCCTGTTGAATATATACACGCATACAAGAGCGAGCAGTTTGGCACTCTCAGAGCCGAGGGGGAATGCCCTTGAAGCAGCAGTCAAGCTGGTTATAGGAAAGTGTTAAAAAGCTATTTTACATGTTTGACTGGGAACATTTCCCAGAACTCGGACAGCAACTCTAAGCCGCAGCACTCTTCTGTGCTACTCTGTGCACGTATTCCTATGAGCCCCTACAAGGGAGCAGATCATGTTCTTCACTATCAAAGAACATAGTATTTATATTCTAGAAATACTGTACCTTTTAAATTAGCTCCAGAGAGCCAGACTAGAAGCCAGGTCCAGGAAAATAATCCTTAAGTCACAGTATATCGATTGTCTCTAAAAATAGGGAATGAAGTTAACACAGTGGACATTCTGATGAGACAGTACGGAACAGTACAGCAGTCCACTTCTGCCTCAGCAGATCCCTCTCCTATGTACATCTGAACAATGAGAAAGTAATGGAGACACTTCAGTCCATCAGGACAAAACCAATCATCAGGAGATCTCCACAGCTCACCATGTGCCAAGTTTCCCTGTTACTAATCAGTATACTCCAAGATCAAGGAGAACTCTTCCCCTACAAAGACTTTAGATCATCCTGAAGTTAAGGGTTGTAAGGAAAGTGCACAGCCTAGAATTTTAAGGTAACACGGAATCCTGTTTCCCCAGAAAACTCAGCTGAAGTACCTGTTTCATCCCTAACCTGCAACTGCCCCAATGTTCTGTCATGTTATTGCAGCTTCTGGCAATTTTTAGACTAAGAGGTGACTCCCAAGGTCACCTAGTGAAGCAACTGGTACAGGGTGTATCTGACAGATGGTTTAACACCCACTGTACTTCTGATGGAGACAGCCAAGGCAGCAGGCTTTGCAACTCTGCTCAGAAGATGGGACAAACTGCCCAAAAGAAAGGGAAATCCACCCTATGCAGGCCTGTTGGGGACCCTGAGCAACAGGCACATGCAACTGCTTGAAATAGTGGGAGCCTGCCCCAGCAATGTCCTTAACCTCTTAAATTAGGGCCAAAGATGGACATTCCAGTCACTAAGATATGGTGAAGGGATTAGAGGATTCTGACAGCTGAAGCACTACTGATGATCCCAACAGCCACTCTGCCACAGGGGCAATGATGGATCCAAGCAGACAGCTGCCAGCACTACACACTACTCAGGCACCATCTTCCCAGTTCACCCACTGGGACCTGGGCACCAACCCCAGGCTGTTCTCCCCTGGCCTACCTCTGAGGGCAGACACTGAGCTAAGAGTCTAAAGTAGAGTGCAGGTTTTTTTACAAAACAACAGTGCATTGCTACTTCATCTCTCTGCACTTATTTGAGCACAGAGTCCTACAGAGGGAACAAACTGCTCATACTGACAACTAACTCGAGCACACGGGCTTCCTTGGGAACACCAACGTCAATACGAAGCATCAGGGGCTTGGGAAGTCTCTCTAAGCGTGCACGCCTCAACACTGCTCACGAGCACAAAGACAGGAAACGTTATGGCTACTCTCATTTACACTGTGCACAACCAACAGAGAGGGCAGACCTTCCTTCTCAATACAGACAGGTACTGGTCAACAGAGGCTTCAGAAAAATTGCTTGCTTGTACACAAGTTTAAGTTCTTTTACTGTAATATATATTTAAGTATTTACCTATGTATTTTGGAACAGGGAAGGGACATGAGGTGGAGAAGCAGGGAAGACAAGTTCAAGAAGCAGAGTCATCTCTCTGCATCCAAGAAGCTGGTGGCACAAATAACAAGCCTGGCAAGTGATCTCCCATTTCAAGCACAGTTGGCTACCCGCTGGGTTCAAAAGAGCAGACTATTTGTTAATGATATAAAATATCGCAACCATTTAAGATGCAGCAAGGCAAGGCTACAGGGCTGGGGTTTATGATCATGAACGATGCCAGGAGCTACACAGCTATGTTAAAAACTGTGAAAAGGCTGTTAATAGCAGGAGTAAGCCATATGCTGCTCCTGGAAGGCCTTTTCCCTCCAAAGCCCCTCCATCATGCCGTTGGTGTGATGTATTTGAAAAGGAGAGGGGGACTTTTCTAGGGGTAAAGCCACAGAACATGAGGACAGTCTGATCTGGTCTCACAGATCCCATGTTCCTAGCCTGGCACTGAGCTTCCATCAGCAAGCAGACATTCAGGTCCTTCAACAGAAGTGTATGCCCTTCTACCTTCAAAATTTGTAGAGGTGAAAGAAGTCCAGCAGAGCTGAGCTGGAAAGCACAAACAGGGATGAAAACAACCAGTTTGCATACTGATCTTTGTATAATGACCCCCCACCCTCACAGCTCACTCTTCCCCAAATAAAGACACATTGTTCAATGGCATGTTGAAAAGACGTGCTCGTCATTCTTAATAAACAACTAGAGTAAGAATACATAAGAGAAACAGGGTGGTATCTTTATATGATACACAAGTGTATGTTACAAGAATTCCATCAGGCACAGAAGCCTCAAGGTTTAAGGCCTCAATGTTAGGCCAAAAAAGAAGAGTGTGGTAAAGTTTGTACTTTTAACATCTAAAAATGTCACTTAAAGGTCTGAATAGAAATTGTTGGTTTGTTTTTTTTTTTTTGTATAAATCATAATTGCAGTTCACTCTCTCCTCTTTCTTCCAAGATATCAGCAAATTAACGTCCAAGCACAAGAAAAGAAGATGCCTGCCTCTCCTCCACTGGCTGAGCAGGTCCATCCATCATTCTGTGCCCTCTAGGCTGCACGTGCTCCAGGGAGACAGAGGCCCTGGCCAACCAGGCCAATCCTGTAGTTCATATTTTCTACATCATAAAAAAAACCCAGAGTCAACCAGCAGCTTTCCACAGCTCCCAGCTTGCAGGGGATATGCAGCCTCCAATGGTTCCAACAGTTTGGTGTGTTGGGTAGGATACACAATGGGTAGGTTTTCCTTTAGATTCTTTTAAAGAGAAGAAGCCTAAAAGGGCTTCATAACTACACCAATAAAAAACCAAAAACTTAGGCATCTCCTTTAGTGTAAAAGTCTGTACAATTTCTCTTTGCTTGTCCCTCCCCCATCACCCTGCCCCACCCCTTCTGAGCCACAAAGGATGCCTTAGTGCATGGTGCTGGCATTAGCCACGGCAAGAGCTTCCTGAATCTCTCGTATCACCAGGATCCGGGTGAGCATCTGCTCCATCTGCTCTCTGCTGATCGGCTGGATGGAATACCAGATAGGGCTGTTGGGGGCCACCACTGGCTCCGGTGTCAAGTAAAAGGTGTCATTCCGGCCTTTCACACTCTGGGGGCTGTGTGAGGAAGATCAGAAATAACCAGACTAACAGAATGCCCTAGAACGGAGAGACCACCACTGTCCTCACCCCAGGCTTCACAAATCCTGACAGTGAACATCTGGCTGATGAGATATAAAGGTACAGAGTTACACCTAGAGACAACATTGGTCCCAAAGTTTTAGGCCATGCCAAGCTTAAAAAGCCATGGTGATGACTACAAGAAAGTAATTTTTTTTCACACTGGTAAATATAACACACACATGGCTTTAGGGGTCTTTCAGAGTGAAGCAAGAATGGAGTATTTTCACATTCAGGCTACCTGCAGATCTATTTGTGCAGAGGAACCTTTACATTAAATATCAGAATCATCACAGTTTAGAGGCGAGTCCTTTGAGACTCCCTCCAATCTCTGTAGCAAGTCCTCATTTTTGTTCAGAAGATGATTTGAATAAGACCCTAATCTCATCTCCAGTAGTGGATGCTCCAAGATGACTTGCAACTCACAGGCAGAAGAGCAAGCTCATGCCAACACAGCAAACCTCCAAGTATAAGATTAGGGGCAGCCAGTTCACAAATCAGGATTTGTCTCTTTTAAATACCCCAGAAGTTCAACTTACATGCCATCAGACTAAAACCCACCCTTTCACATCAACACCCTCCCCATTTAAGTAAATTTATGCAAACACAGAAACTGTGCCAGCAATAACACACAGTCCTGAGAACTAGGCCAGCCACAGGGTGCAGCTCCCCAGTCAGAGCAGACAAGCACCACACACACAGACAAGAGCTCTCACCATTTGAAGAGGTAGAAGTCATACAGCTTTATCGGACACCTCAGAGGGTTCTCTGGATTCTCTGTCTGCTCTGCATACATGTCATCTGTAACTACAAACCAGCCCCCCGGAATTGTGTCAGACTGTGTAAGGACAGCACACTGAGCAGTACCATACAGCCTCAGCACTCTGCAGCACCTTGTCACCATGCAAGAGCTAGCAAGAGACATATGGCTGTTCCAGGGCAGAGGCACCCGGCTCTAAATGCTCAAAGCATTATATGGAGAGCTTGCTTTATCCCAAGGCTACTGAAGTTCACAACCCATCCATATACTTCTTTCCATCTCTCCTCTACCAGTGCCCAAAATGAGGGAACTCTCTCTGAGACTGCAATACCTCAGCTACATCGTGTGCTTTTAAGAGGACAGATTGTACTTACATAGGGGTTCTGGTATGGGTTCACATGAATCAAGGTAAGAGAAGCCCTCCCAAAGAATTTTCTCCGTATCTTCATAAGCACTTACACCCAATAGCCTCTTTGCCCATAAAAAAACAGAAGTAACAAAAAAGTTATCCTTAGTTCTTGACGAGTCTCATATGCCTGAGGTAAGGTATGTCCCCAGGCTTATGATTAGAAGGTACTATGCTCTCTTGGACCAGAATACATGGAAAACTCAGACTGCTGGGCTGAAGGTAACTGTCAGAGCCTTGGATTCCCTACCTGCAAACATCTCCAGGTTCATCCACTTCTTCAAGCCCAAGTAAGTAAAATATTCCCAAAGAAAACTCCTAGACACTACCTTTCTGTCCTGTCTGGTGCATGCCTGGAGCCTTCATATAGCGGATACTCGTGCTTTTATCCTTGGGATTAGAAGGGTTCTTCTTGGTCTGCCTCAGCACCTTGGAGAAGGCCAGCTTCATGTGCTGGTCTACTGTTTTCAACAGGAAATATCTGAGCAGCAAGAACAGAGCACAGGACATTTAGAGGCAAGGTAGTTATCTTTTGTCATTGTGAGCAGGCTGAAGCTCAAACCAACCACTGAGTTAAAGGCTTTTCCAGCAGCAAAGCATGCAACAGCCATAAATTAACCCATGATTTCACCCTGACCCAGTGCAGCAGTTCCCCACCAACCCTGTCAAGGCGTCTGAAGTTCTTTTATTCCCCAAAATTCCCAAAGACTTAAGTACTTACTTTGTATTGAAAAACATCAGTGTAGTGAGCAAGGTGGAAGGGGAGTGAGCTCCAAGCTGCTTACACTCCCACAGCATTTCCTCTGTTACATGACTGGAGAGGATGTAACCTGCAATAACCAGAAGTCAGCATCATGCCAAGATATAGACACAGTGTGAACACAGGCAGCATTTTATAATCTGTAAGTATTGAAGAGCATATAAATCTTAAGGGAAGGAAGAGGAGGAGATTCTCACTGATGTCAAGATTCACTGCTGTGCAAACAACTTTTTAAATAGCTGGTACAATTAGGATATAACACTTGTATACATACATCAACCTCTAGTTGAAGAGAGTGTGCTTCTGCAACAGGCCTTTACATCCCAGCCCATAGAGAAACAAATACTCACTTTAACAGCTTTTAATTAATGGCTCAACTCCAATGCAGATGCTCTTAATCCAATAATATGTGAGAGCAGGCAGGCCAGTGTAACAAATCAGCTCTTGGCCCTGTGCACAGCTTTAGTCAGCACACAGTGCCAAGTGATGTATTTGGACACGAGTAATCCTTTGATTCTCAGATATTTTTTTTTTCCTTTGTGTAGAAGAGAAATACTATACTCCAAATACACAGATATACAGAAAAACAGACAGCACTATGAACTCCAGGGCTTGTGGAATGACAAAGCACAGATCAAACAGCCAGAGTGAAAACAAAAGGATTCCAAAACTCATGGTGCTACTTAGTCATCTAGCCTGTAAACATCAGCTACTTTTCTGAACACAAGCAACAGCTTCTTCACTGATGCCCAATCCGAACAAAGGGAATGAAGCAATGAGAAACCACGTTTCCATGCTCTGAAAATGCAATTCTTGATCTAGTTCTCATATGCAACTCTGTCAAAATCTGTCTCTCCTGGAACTGCCCCGCCACCCCCACTGCCATCATCTCCTGAACACAAGGTTGAGCTGCAATTGATTGGAGGCTCTAAACACTCATTGTTTTTTCCTTTGACACTCGTTGGTCCTGCAGACAGTATCCATCTGGCTCCATGGCACCATGACAGTGCTGTATTATCTCCCAAAATAACAATACATATTAGAGGCAAGATGTACTAGTACTTCAGATGAGGAAGCCTGATTCAAATCAAGGATCAGCTGGCTTCCAAGTAAGCCAATCTCACGACACTACAAAATCCCAACAATCTGCCTTCTGATGGGTGACAAGTGATAGACAAATAATACTCAACAACAGTCAGGGCTAGAGCCTGACAAGTGCAGTAACCCCGGCATTCACTGCAGATGCAACATTTTTCTCCATGACTAGCACGAGCTGCCCTAGGGACAGCAAATACTTCAAAAGGGTTTCTATTCAGACTACACTCAAGAGGTAGGTTCAGTTTAAACATTCCAAACTCTGGAAAGTTTTGGAGTTCTTAAACAAAAGTCCTTACCAAGAGGTGAAACGCGGGGCTGTATGTCCTTGAGAACTTCATGCAGCCATTCAGTGAAACGAATATAGTAGAGATCTGAGAAGATGTCATCAACTCGGCCGTTTTCAAAGAGATACTGTAAGAGATTCACAACACGGTCCAGTACAGTGGGAGCCAGTGTGTTCCTCAGACCAGACCTTACCCTAAAGGCCCATGTACTCAGTTAGTCAAGCATTTTACAACAGAGCACTGAAGACTAATACATTTTACTTGAAGAGTGAGGACAGTTGCACCAAGGCCAGTACAGGGTAGGTAATCTCAATTACTACCATGAGAATGCCAAAACAGAAAAAGGAAAAAACATCTTACAAAGTGAAGCTGTTTGGATTTCACCTTTTACTTCAGGTGTGTTCACTCCAAGTTATTTCACATGACTGCTCTTTGGACACTACTTTTTCATGTTATTGACAGAGATGTTCAATTCCCCTGTCAGTTTACCTCTGTTCCTGCAGCTCTTCCAGAAAGCACTCTAGCATTACCAGCTCAGATTTCCCACACCACAATAAGTTCTTGCCTGTTAAAACTTCGACTAGATTAAATTTTGACGACTCCTTCAAACATCATCCAACCCTCCTCCTCCCGCTAAAAAAATTAAAAGGATTTATTATTCTCACCATGATACTGAACTCAATTATTAACAATTCAATTATTAACAATTTCACTCATAGGTGAAAGCACTGCTGCGCACTAATGACAAGTCATCTGAGGTTTGGGTTTGTTTGTTTGTTTGTTTTTAAGCAGAGATACTTTTTTCATATAAAATTGTTGGGAAGCTTAATAGAAGCCACAGTCTCCATTGTCATAACCAAGAGTTCTCCCTATACATGCTGACAACATGCATAGCCCTGCAGCACACAGAGGTGTCCTTTCCTACCTTCTGAATACACAGGAAGATATAGTAGAGCACATCTGGATCGTAGGGTTCACCATCACCATTTCGAGCTTCTCGTGTCATTAAGCACAGACCGTAATTCAGCTCGGCCACAGCTGAAGAGATGAGATCTTCCTGGAACCTCAGCAGCTGACGCCCTGGAAAAACAAAACAAAGCCATATTATTTAAGCCATAAAGCTATATTATTTCCCAATATTTCAGGAATGATTTCCTGCATCTCCAGCTTTCCCGTTCTATCTGGCAGGTCCAGTACTACCTCATTCCCCCAGTATAGTAAAGTAAGCTAAAATAAATCAAGATCTTAGGCTGTCAGATCTCCTAAAAGATAAAATGGGCAAGAGTTTAACAGCAAGATCCTCTGCCCTGCCAAAGACATGACTATTGCCTTCTATTACCGT